TCTAGTCTCGCCTAAGACATGAAAGCGGTCTGGATGACTTTGATCCAGTCACCAGGAGACTGGGAGTTCTAGTCTCACCTAAGACATGAAAGCAGTCTGGATGACTTTGATCCAATCACCAGGAGACTGGGAGTTCTAGTTCCACCTAAGGCATGAAAGCCATCTGGGTGACTTAGGGCCAATCACCAGGAGACTGGGAGTTCTAGTCTCGCCTAAGACATGAAAGCGGTCTGGATGACTTTGATCCAATCACCAGGAGACTGGGAGTTCTAGTCCCACCTAAGGCATGAAAGCCATCTGGGTGACTTAGGGCCAATCACCAGGAGACTGGGAGTTCTAGTCTCGCCTAAGACATGAAAGCGGTCTGGATGACTTTGATCCAGTCACCAGGAGACTGGGAGTTCTAGTGCCATCTTAGCCAAATGGGTGACTTTGGGCCAGTCCCTCTCTCTGTCAGCCCAACCACCTCACAGGTTTGTTGTTGTAGGGCAAATAGGATGAGGATTTACTAAATTCACTACCTTGAATTATTTGTGAAAACCACGAAGGCAGGGTACAAATCAGTCAATAAAAAAAAAACGTTGTAGGCAAGAACAAACCAGGTTAAATCCAATAACTTTCTTCGGTGACTCTCCGAAAGTTTTAACGAAAATGTTTGTTTTTTTTTTCTCCCCTTTTTGGAAAAAAAGATGGAACAGACATTTGCTATCCGGATGCATTCCTCCGGCTGCTTCCCGTAGTAGAGATCTTCATTTCCCTACACCGGTGTGGTTTTCGGCCACCTTCTCTACAGAAACTACGTCCTGAGAATGCAAAGCTTTTGATTCCTGAGAAGAAACCAACCATGGGAACATTGGTTCAGAGGGCCAAATTTGGATGGACGTTGTATCCGTTAACTTCCACTTGATTCTTCCTTCTCCAACTGGGACGTCCTTCCTACAACAAATTGGGAAGCGCCGCTTGCTACTGGCGTCCAAAGGAAAACACTAAAATACGCCCCCTTCAAAAAAAAAAAAAAAAGAAAGCAAATTTTGGGACCGGCTCTTTTTCACATTTTGGAGATGAGGAGAGGAACGTCCTTCCGTAGCCCGATCAATTTCTGCCTTTCCTGGCTGAGATATGGGGTGGTGGTGGAGGGGGATGTCTTCTCCGCCAACTTCTGCAAATTATCTGTTGCTTCCTTCCCTTCCTGCATGTCACTTTATACTGTTTGCACTTTACCTGACTCTAAAACATGTGTAATCTGGCAGGCTTTTTACTACATACATAAAATCTCTTCGGAATTAATAAAACGTTAGTAAAAGTTGTACGATAATCTTGGTGTCTGATGGATGAATCTTCAAATGGGGGTTATTTTGTGACTGGACTTGCAGGGAGCTTTAGAGATTTACAGATCTAACAGAATCAGAAGGGGCTGTGATATCCTGGGGTGTGGCGCAAAGGCAACACAGTCACATAAGTAAGAAACGCCCCTTTAATACCTCCAACTTTGCCCCCAATGTCCAGGTTACCTTCGGTTGGAGAAAAAAACTCTCAGAAACAGTCTTTAAGTGGAGGAAATTCAATCCGAAAACAAAGTATATACAAACTGTAAATAAAAATCCAGACAAACCACGCTGTAGCAATTAACTTGACAGGACAGGAGAAGGAATTGCAGTCTTGAATGGCCAGCAAAACACACATAGCTGTGAAGACGCCAGGAACCCAGATAAGCCTTGACAATACCAGATAATTCACAATTTGCTCTCAACAGTTTGCTGTGCACAATCTCCCTTTTTAAACACTGTGTTCCCAGCAGCAGCTAATGAAGGGAATCAGGGCTCTTTCCTCCCCCATAAGCCATACAACTCACATTGCTCCCTGTTCTGTTCTTCCCTGCATGCCCTAGGATGAAGAGGAGGTGGGCCTAGATCTTCCTCTGAATTTTCTCTGGCTTGCTCTACCTCTCCTCTGCTCTGCCCAGCCGGACTTTGCCCTTACCCAGTTTCTTCTATAGCCACTGGAGCCACACTCCCGCTGCCTGTCAGCTGCTCGGCCTCCCCCTCGGAATCAGATTCCAACAGGGGCATGACGGGGACCTTGTAGGTCATCTAGTCCAACCCTCTGCCCAAGCAAGGGACCCTACACCATTATTTGAAGTAATTTTTGTCATTCACGTTTCATATTTGTCTCTCCTTTGGCAATCTTTGGCAATTTAATGATGCTATTCCACCATTTCTTGATGTTCGTATAACTCTTGTTGTCCACCAGCGAACTGGCGGCAGCATGTTAATACAGAATCACAGAGTCGGAAGGGACCTTGTAGGTCATTTAGTCCAACCCCACCCACCCCCAAGCAAGGGACCCTATGCCATTTCTGACAAATCACAGACCAATATCTTCTTGAAAGCCGGTGATGAAGATCCCACAAGTTGTATTGACTCAATGACTGTCATTGAGCCCCAAATTTTTATTGTTGAGGGAGATATTTGTTAAGGGAATTTTTGCCTCATTTTATGACCTTTCTCGCCATAGTGAATCACCATAGTTGATAAGTAAGTAGCACGATTGTTAAGTGAATCTGGCTTCCCCATCAGGTTTGCTTGTCCGAAGGTTGCCAAAGGGGATCACGTCATAAATATGAGGCAGACAGATGCGAAGCATCTGAATTTTGATCATACGACCAAGGGGACGCTACAAAAGTTATACAAGTGAAAAACAGCCATAAGTCACTTTTTTCAGTGCCGTTGCAACTTTGAACAGTCACTAACTGAATTGTTGTAAGTCCAGGACTACTTATATCCAGATGTACGATACCTTCACGAAGGTGGAATGGCCAAATCTGAGAATACCATGGATTTACACGTTTTTACAAAATAAAATCTGTTTTATTTTGATTTCGACAATATAGCATCATTGATACATTACACCCCAATGAGCAGTATGGAAACTCAAGACCTTGATAATAATTCAATTTTCTCTCTCTCTCTAGTTCCTTCCAGTCACTATTTTATTGTTGTTGTTTTTAAAATTATTTTACTGTTTCACTGCTCTGCTTTTATTTAAAATGTTCTAGGAACACAACAGTTTGTCAGTCTTCCTAACATGCTGCTAATTAGTCATGTTGAAACTCATCAAATAATCTTATCTCACTTTTTTTTGGCTGAATATCATTTGTCACAAAAAGAGGAAACTCAAAAAAAGTCTGACTCATTTTAAAACTTGAGATTTTTAAAACTGTTTTCAGGAAGTGGAGTGAACACATCATTTTTCCAGTTAAAAACTTAAAAGTGTGGCAAAATTTCTTGTTAGTTAATGAACAATGTTGTTTATTTTCAGAAATTTTAGTGGCTTGCCCAAATGAGCTGGTAAATTGTTCAATTCCTGGGAAGCAATTTTTAAAAATTATAGTTTGTGATTTGGTGGCAGAACTGGGAGTTGTTCTTAGTACTGGAGCAGCAAACAATCAGATCACTGTAGTTTCTTGCATTTTCAGCTGACGATTTGCAAATAATAAGAGTTGGAAGGTGCCCTAGAGGTTCATCCTCCGGGTAAAACAGGAAACCCTATGCTATTTCAGACGAATGGTTGTCCAATCACTTCTTTAAAATCTTCCAGTGTTGGAGCACCCACAACTTCTGAAGGGAAGCCGTTCGACTGATTAATTGTTCTAATTGTTAAGAAATTTCTCAATATTTCTATGTCGGATCTCTCCTTGATTGGTTTCCATTCGTTGCTTCTTCTCCTGCCTTCAGCTGCTTTGGAGAATAATTTAACCCCCCTCTTCTTTGGGGCAGCCCCTCAAATACTGGAAAGCTGCTATCATGTCCCCCCCTGGTCCTTCTTTTCCTTAAACTAGACGAATCCAATTCCTGCAACCGTTCTTCGTGTATTTTATCCTCTAGTCCCTTAATTATCTTTGTTGCTCTTCTCTGCTCTCTTTCGAGAGTCTTAACATCTTTTTTGTATTGTGGTGATCAGAACTGGGTGCAGAATTCAAGTGTGGCCTTACCAAGGCATTATAAAGTGGTATTAACACTTCACATGATCTTGAATCAATCCCTCTGTTTATGCAGCGTAGAACTGCGTTGGCTTTTTTGGCAGCGGCCGCACACTCCTGACTCATATTTCTGCTAATTGCAGGACCGAGACATGGCTAGTCTAGCGAACAGAAGGACCAGGGGAGACAGGATAGCAGTCTTCCCATATTTGAGGGGCTGCCACAGAGAGGAGGGAGGGGGGTCAAGCTATTTTCCAAGGCACCTGAAGGCCAGACAAGGAACAATGGATGGAAACTGAACAAGGAGAGATTCAACCTGGAAATAAGGAGACATTTTCTGACAGGGAGAACAATCAACCCATGGAAAAGAAGTTGCCTTTGGATGTTGTGGGAGCTTTGCCACTGGAGGCTTTCAAGAAGAGACTGGACTGCCCATCTGTCAGAAATGGTGTAGGGTCTCCTGCTTGGGGGGGGGGGGGGGGGGGG